AAAACAAAACATTTAAAAAGACATAACCTTGAGATTTGGGAAATCATAACGGGTATTTTTGGCATTTTCTAGACACGACATTTATTGCAGCCCTCAATCTTTCACATAATTGATATTTGAAATAAAGTGGTGTACCAAGCAGGCGTGGGATCGAGCCAGAAATACAGTATTTAGACCTATTAATCACGAGATGTGTGTTTTCTGTTCCGGCTAACTTCCCCTCCAGCATGGCTGCAGCTGTAAGAGGAGGCAGGCCTATTGTTCAGACTAACAAGGGGCGCAGAGGTCACTTGCATTTTCACAAGAGCTTTGCCAGAGGGGTATGGGAAGTAACCGGCACACAAGTCTGTTTGGTATGGATCTACACTAAAGCTTTTTCTATAAAGTCACATCATTCCCAGTCTATTATGAAGGGGGATAGATTAGATTAAGTGAGATTATGCAGAGAGGGGCTCCCTAAAAAGAGCAAAAATAACACACTCAGTACTTAGCAGGCGAGTCAACAGTGGGATTAAGCCAGAAGGACACGTTCAAATCCATTGCTAATATGCACAATGGTCATCCTTCCACAGGCTCAACTCTGTGTCTCAAATGTTGTTGCTTCACATTTCTCAACAAGCTGCAGAAACACAAATCTGACTTGTATTATCATATTTTGGTCCTAAATCTGAAATCAATCATTTTTGACAAATCTCGAAACCTCAAATAAGGGTTGTATTTATTCTCCTCGTCAAACCCTCATCCCTCCTGTCAAGCCCTCTCTCTCTCTCTCTGTGCGTACAGTTTGTACAATAACAACTCCTATCACCAATGCAACCAAAAATATGCACAAAGTGGTTGCACACTCTAACATGATTAAATGATGTGTGGTCTGGCGTCACTCCCAGCACCTCTCCCATCCCTCGCTCTGTATCTCGCTCCTGCATGAATGCAAACACACACAGACAGACAGACACAGATTCCCTTTCCCTGAGCTGTGTTTTGAAAATAGAAGCTTCATGTTAACAGTCAACAGTCAATCTGACAGGTACAGTCTGGACATTCCCTCCGTCATAAAACCCCCTCGGTGGGTATCTTGCTCAGAAAGTACACATGTTACTGCAGCTCTGTGTCACCAAGGTGGAGTGTCGCAAATCATTACAAACACACACATGAGGAATGCAGAACAACACATGCGGGAAGATTTCGGTGGTATGTTGACGAAATGCTTTCTTAGTTATTTTGGGTGGTGGACAAAGTATTCAGATGCCTACTGGAATAAAACTAGCATTACCACAATGTAAAAATACTACACTACAGGTCAAATTACAGAGAAACATGCTTAAGTACATTAAATGACTTGCGTAAGCAACAATTCTGCATGCTGTGAATGAAAGTGGAGCTAATTTAAGATACGGTTTTCTGTCAGGTAGGTTAACCAGTGTTTTTTTTTTACCATTATATCATTTCATTCTGACTGACTTTCATAAAATCTACTTAAGCTTCATGGAAATATTGGAATGTTTTCGGTACCTTTACAAGTATTCAACAGTGTGCAGGATTTACTTGTCCTTACCAAAGGATCATAAGTCAAAAATGTTTGGAAACAAATGTTCAATTAGGGCTGTGCAATTAATCGTATTTTAATCGCAATTACGATTTTGGCCTACCACAATTACGAAAACAACATAATCGAAAAAAACGATTATTTTGCTTTGCTAGGTTGTGCACTGCAACATATTTGATCTAATTGATTTTGGTCTAATTTATTTTTATTTATCATATTAATATATGTTTAGTAGCTTGATCTTGATTATTGGTATTCATTATTTTGATATTATGTATTTAAATTTAAATGATATCATTTATTTTAGTATTGGTTTATCAGTTGAATTATACGTTCAGGGTAATCAACAGTTAAAAAGATACTGTTCAAATTATTATTTGTATTTGTTTTAAAGTTCAATAAATGGATGTTTTCAAAGTCAATGAACAATTGTATTTAATAATCGTGATATCAATTATTGACCAAAATAATCGTGATTATGATTTTTGCCATAATCGAGCAGCCCTATGTTCAATACATAAAAGAGTAACATATTTACCATTATCATATATTTTTCATGTTGAATCTTTATCTGCAGAATAACCACCAACTATAGTTTTAATACAAATGTTAGAAACCTCAATATCTCACTCTAAAATATGCTGGAGTTTGGTGTAAAATAGCACTACATTTCTTGGATAAACACTCTTAGTTAGTTTCCACCACAATCTCACTGCCAAATATATTGCATTCTTTAAAATAACCCTTGAAAGAGTTGGGGTTTTCCTTCACGTAATACATTTCTAAGATTATTAACACCGAATGTTGTTTGACACCAAACTAAACCTCATGATTAAGCTACTACAACCGCCCACTGACACAATTTCTGTTCGGCGAGCGCCACACTTGCCCTGCTCTCTCCTCACTCATTGAAAATAGCCATACCAACACAGTGATTCATCCCAGGAGTTTATTCTCCCGAGCAAAGACAACACAAAAAGGACCTTGAGCGAAACCTCCACAAACCTCCCACAGGCTCTGACCGCAGAGGAAGAGCAGTCGCTTTCTTACTCGGTCGCCTTTTTCCTGTTAGAGTGCTTAAGAGGGCTCTCCGTACGCAGGAGCTGCTCGCTGCGAGTGGAATTCCCAAGAAGAATCAATAACAGTAGGACATTATCCGCCATCTAACAGCCCTTTTACCAGCGCTGCTTAAGCACACATTGTTGGTAAAAGGATACTAACCATTTGGAGAGGGTTTGATACAGGAAATTTAATAAAATATTTCACATAACAGCATTTATCTCATAACTATTTGCCAATTGACACTGTGTTGTGTTCAGGGAATCTTTTCAAGACAAAAGCAGCATGGGATGCAGTATACAGATAATATTTCAGAAGATGAGAGGTGTGTGAGAGACACATCAGCTCTCCTCACAGGTTGTCCGGCTTACTGCTGGAGTAATGAGGCCTCTTGTGTGTCCTCTCTGATCTGAGAGTTGAATAATTTCCCATGTGGCACAGCCATTTCCAGCTTCCGCTTTTACTCTCACCTCGCAGGCTGGGGGGGAAAGGTGAGAGGAGAACAACTCCCACCCTGCACTGAAAACGTGTTGCCATTGTCAATCCACAGAGCCACACAGACTGGCTGCAGTCCAGACAAACACAGATTTGCTTTATAAGGATATACGGCGCTATTTGCTTTAAAAATAAAAAGCTTTGTTTTTGCATCTATTTTTAGTGGTTTTTTCACTGATCTGTGTCAGAAGCAGCTCGGCGTCCATTTACAGTTTAAATTCTGCCTCTCTGTGTGCTGACGCTTCTCATTGGTCAGGAGGAAACTTAGAGTTAATAAATGGTCTACTTCAGCGCCCAGACACACGTGCTGGGTTGCAGATCTCTGTTTCAATGTGTCTTTTGTTTGACGGCTGGTGTTTCAACATCCTCAACTTGAATAGAAGAAGGTCAGCCTGGTGGGGTCTGCCCCATGGTTATTCAGGAGCCCAACCTGGGGGCCCCACAGAGCTGGGGTGCATGGAAGGGAGGAGAAAAGGCAGAAAAACCTCCTTCTCCTTCTGACATCACCCTAATCCATGAAGTATAAGTTGGAGTTTCCCCACTCAAACAGCTTTAAAAATGTGCCATCAAGTGCTTGTGAATACATTGAGACCTGTTTCAGTCAGGATTTTGAGTAAAGAACAATTATCAGGTGCAAAAACAAAGGCAGCTTGTACATTTGACATCACATCGAGACCGTTTCTGAAAGTTTTCTTCAGTTCAGAAGGCTGCAGGCAGCAACCCAACAAGACCCTAGGATTATATGACATGAAAATGTAAACAAGCAACCAAGGCTGCTCAATAACTGGTGTCACCGCAGAAGTTTTACATGACCCTCAGCGGCTGGGTCTAAACAGGCTGCCTGCTGTTAGGGACTAATGTGGATGCTGCAGCAGCCTTTAAAGCAAACGAGAGGAGAATGAACTTTTCAGCAACATAACACAAACAGGAAGGGCCCTCCTGGACATCTCACCAGAGAAAGATGATAAACATCTGCACGTGTTTGTTTGTTTGTTCCCAAGATTTTGTAGAAGCAGAAGTACAGTGCATGTGTACACAACAGAAACACACTCCCTCTCTTTCACTGTCAATGGCTAGGAGGCAGATCAGGCAGCAGCTTACTTTTTTTTCACTTGATTATGCCTTTTGCTTCCTGGACAGATGTACAGCAAGTGGAAATGAGTCCAGGTCTACATGAGAGGCCCCTCAATCCCCAACTGGTTCCATATTCAGACAGCAGGAATTTGGGGAGTCAACTTGTCAAACCCTAGTGAAGCTACAGCAGCAAGATAACTCCAGACTGTGACATAAATACACTGATATTCAATAGTTTGCACATGGGCTGCTGTTAACAAACTTCAGAAATAAACATTTAACATGACATTTATTGAACAATCCACGCTGCAGCTGCAGAGACCGCTGTCTTCTTGTAATGCCCACTGTCTTCCTGCAGCCTTCATGTAGCAGCGTTAAACACACATTAGACAAACCATGTGCTTTGTGCACATCCAAAAAGGTAAAAAGCAAGAGCTATCTTACGCACACACACACACACACACACACACACACGCAAAAACACACAAGCCGCGGCATGATTCATTCTGCAAGCAAAACGCATACAGGCTGCTACAATGTAGCCTCCAAGCCCCAACGCTTTGGAGATCAACGCGGCATCTGTTACTAACGAAATGCACAACCTGCTTAACAGCCCGCCGGTTCAATCCCGACGGCACACAGCAGCGTGATAGTAAATATAAAGCTGCCGTTTATTACCACGGGCTCCGACGTGCTCCTCACTGCCAGTTCAAGTGGTCACTCTATTGTTGAGAAACAATCTGAGCCAAAGTGGAAACAAAACCTTTCCCGAGACAAGAGCCTCGTAGCGCCACACCGGAGAACAGGCAAGTTTGCAGTTACTCACCGGGTTACAAAGCGGAGAAAGTCCTCGGTAATTTTCGGCTCTTGTTTTTAAATATCTTCCCCCCTCACGGCCACTGAGAATGGGCTCAACGTCAGTGGGTGAGTAACTGAATAGACTCGGAGAGAGCGCAGTAAGTTGAAGTGTCAAATTACATTGGCTATTCTATTACCAAAGGGACCCATGCTCGGTGGCTGCTGACAAAATGTGTCGCGGATTTTTCTGCGGAGAAGCCATGAGGAGAGAGCCGGGAGCCGGACTGAGGCTCAGCTCTGCGGCCATCTGCTGACTGAGACCCGCTCCCTGTGTGGAGGAACCATCCGGGTCTGTAGCTGGTAGCACATTCTTCTTTATTTGGTGGGATTTTAAAAGGCGAGTAAACAGTGGGGACAAGTGGGCTCACACATTAAAATGTAAATAAGGCATGCTGGGTATTTTTATTTGGTGTCTCTTTATTGATTCAATTAACTTAACGACGCATTATGGTTATTTATTGCAATTTAAAGATACATAATTTAACATAATTTAACAAAGTATTGAAGAGAGATCTGCTATGTATTATTCAACACTTGTACATGTCAGTAGTCATATCATAAACAAATATGAATTTCTTTTTAAAAACTCGAAAAACTTGAAATCAAATAAAACTACAACTAATAAAAAAATAATATTGTAAAAAAATATATTTAATCTTTGCAAAACATTTCAAACTTCAAAAACATTCTAAAGAAATATAACAATATCATGAAATACTGATATTAAAAAAACAGGATATTTAGAATCATGAATCTTTATTCAAATGAACTGTGATTTCAATATGTAATACAGGTTGTCAGCTTACTGTCAAATCAAGTAATTACAAAGTTAACATAAGCTATAATGCTTTTAATAGCCTATTAAACAACAACAAACACGCACACGCTCTCATTCCAGCCTATTAAAGCCATACAGTGGTTAGAGCATGTTCACGCCTGCGCTCTGCCTTCCCATGATCCTCCTCGGAGCAGACTACTACCCTCCGTGTTTTGCAGTTCGCCGCTCTCTGATGGAAAGCCCTGAATAACAAAGACATGTTTGAGAGCAGCAGCGGCATCAGCAGCAGCAGCAGCAGCAGTCTGGGCTGAGCGCTGACGTCAAGGAGCCATGACTGTGCCAAGCAGCATCCAGACTCCAGTCCACACACACACACACACACACACACACACACACACACACACACACACACACACACACACACACACACACACACACACACACACACACACACACACACACACACACACACACACACACACACGACCTGATGCTGCCACTGTGGCCTGTCTCTGGAAGCACCCCATGTCAGAAGTTAGAAACACACCACCCTGCCTGCTGTGATTGACTCTCTAAAGTTGGTTGTGATTAAGGTCAGAGTGGAGTTTTCTCGCTCTGAAGCTTTTACTCTTACAGTAGAAGTCATCCTAAGTGATCCACTCTGCTGGGGAGTCCTCCGAGCCCCTGCTTTCTGGCCTGTGTATCCACCCCAGCTGTCTAAGTTAGGGGGAGGGATATGCTGGAACAATAGACGCCATTTGTCCTGCTAAAAGGTGACAGGAAGCATTGATTTCAGCCTTGTAAGCCATCCCTAAATTGGCTAATGGGAACATTTCCCTCTAACGGAGATTGAAAAAAATGTAGGGAATTGTGACTCACAGCAGTTGCATCAGTAGGCAGGAACAAACTTTTGATTACAGGATACCAAAGCCTCATTGATTTTATTGAGCTGTTCATTAAATAAAGCAATAAAGCCCTGCACGGTCAATGGGGGATTGTTGCAAGGTGCAACAAAAACAGCTTACATCTAAACGAAAGGCAACTATGTTTAAGGTACGGGAAACAAAGAAGAAACTGGCAAACAGATATAAACTCAAATTATACTTAAATTAGTAACGATTTGTTCCAATTAACGTTTAATCAGCCAAGTTACTTTAAAGCAAAATCAGTTTTTATTCTAATTTGTCCTTATAATTAAAACTTTTTAAAGCCCAAATCGATTTTGAGGATGAGGCAACATTTAAACATTGTAATCATATCCTCTAAATTAAATGTAAGAGGTTGGAGGAGTTTAGATCTTTTTTTTCTTCCATACAGCCACTTTTTTGGTGATCTCGCTGATAAGACTTCCTAATTTGTCTCCTATTAGTAGCTTGAAATAGCTCCCAGCATTCACCAATTTGTCTCAGGTCACTTCAGATTGTTACACTCAGCAGGAAGAACCAGCAGTATTCTTCAGGGGAATGTCATGTATAGTGAAATTGTCAGTAGAGCCATAAACATTTTAGCATGTGATGGACTTCATGACAGGAAGAAAACTGACATGATAATTGACATTTCTCAATACTTGTCACATTTTTTACAGAATAATTGACCATGATGAACTCCACGACTGTTCTACAGGGTTGTTTTGGAACGGATCACTTTGTCAGACCTGTGATCACCGTGTTGTGACACCTTCTCTTTCAAAACGGTTTGACATCTGCCAGCGCGAGACACACCGCCCCAAATATAGATCGGAGTTTTCCTTTTCACAACTGGGTCAAGGAGTCTGAGAACAAAACTGTGAAATGTTGAGCAGATCTTAGAGTTGTACTTGTATTTGTCTCTTAACAATGTAAATATAACTATCTGGAAGGTTTATCTTAGGGATAAACCTAGAAAATGCCATCTCTGCCGTTTCCCTCAGTTCCTCCCACTTGTGGCAACTTAATCATAAAGTCAAAGCACTTCTTAGAAATATGGAAGATTGCCATCTTAATAGATTGTTTGAAAGTATGAGTTTAGTCATTGACAGTGCAAATTAATAAACCACATGGTAAAAAAAAACAAAGGCATAATTAGCCATAAGGCTATCTTTCATCTACAGTCCCTGACCCAGGTGTTACAAAAGTCTTCTTAAAATACATCGAAGCAGAAACCAAAACAGGGCTTGCAGTTTAAAAAGGCTTCCTGAAATACATCAGAGCAAAGAAAAAACAGGGCATGTCGTTTAAAGGTTGCAAAAGGACAAGCAGTTATTAAAAGCAGTTGAAGCAGTAGCGGCTTACATACATATAGGACGGCTTTGCAAACAAACAGGACATGGCAGCAAAAAGAGAGTTAGTGCTGATGTGTGCATGTTTATTAAGACATTGTTTCATTGGTTACTGATGGAACGGTTAAGGAGAAATCCACAGTTACAGAGTAGAATGAAAAACAAAAAGATATTTAAGATGTTATGGAAGCAAGAAAGCCCAAAACCTGAAAATTTACCAGTGCTTTATGCCCCGGCCACACGAGGACGAAAACGGTCGTTTGCGTTACTGTTTAGTGTCATATAGACAGTTCGGCCACACGGAGGACGACCGAATACGGCACTAAACGACAGCGGAAACGATAACGGGTCCCAAGGTGGATAGAACGGCATACGCAACGCTCTGGGGGGTCCAACGGCTCCATGTGTACGCCCTATACGATCATTTTCTGATAATGATGAGGCAATAGCCCCGCCTCTCCCCACCTCTGCTGCTCACCCCCGCGTCAAAGTAAACTGCACACTGAATTCAGATTATTTATCTTTCTCTCGATATGGACATAAACGCGAGTGAAGTCTAATCTGACAGGACGGAGACACCTCTCAAACTACCTAAACTAGTTATAAATATGTTTATTTGTACTGTCGGCCGGGTCACTCATTACTGGATCAGCTGCTGCATGAAACAGACACTGGCGCTATCCGAAGAGAGGGAGGAAAAAGAGAGGCTCCGTGTATTTTATTATTATATTATATAGATTCGTTATTCATTTGTTTTAAAGCTCAATAAATAACAAAGAAGACCTTTGACCGGCACTTTTATAATTTTGTCGGAAGATTTAAACTTTAATACACGTTGACTGGCGAAAAACTCTGCCCGGTTCCCTCGGCCCCCACCGCGGAGAATAAACAGAAGGGCAACCATGACAACCATGCTTCTTCGCTGCTTTTGTGGAGGAAGTTACAGCGCCACGTACAGGCTCCTGCATATGTACTGCAGCTTCTCCAGCGGTTGGAGCTAAACGGAGCTGTCTCGTGTGGACAGACACTATCCGGATGACTATTGCGTGTGGACGGAAGGTTTTTTGCGATTGCGTTTGCGTTAATCCTATGCGTTTAGCCGTTTTCGTCCTCGTGTGGCCGGGGCATTAAAGACATTTATCTGCCTGAGGTGTCGAGCCACAACATAATATTGCAACCTTCTCTGATACATCCCTTTGTGACACCATTGGTTGGTTCTCTAATTTACATGAACCACAATCTCCCCCAACCTTAATCACATGTTTTGTAAACCTGAACACACACAGGATGCAACAAATAAACGTCATCTTCAGTCGACAGGGTTAATTTATGACTCATCCAGAGTGTCTCCCTGCCTGTATTTCACCAAGAGAAAAGCATCACAATGAAACTTCCTTTCTTTTTGTTACATTTCAGTATATTTTCAGTATATATATATATTCAGTATATATACATATTCAGTATAACAAGCTCATATTGTCTTGTAGTCTAGGTTGTCGGCCAGATGGAAGATGAATGGACACCATATTAGTTAGTCATGTAGACGCGGAAACAAATGATGCTGTCTGCTTTTGTGAGTTAAATCTGAATACATTTGATACATTTTCAATTTCATAAATATTTGAATGTATTTACCACATGAATCAAAACCCTCTCTGAGAGTTATATATCATTGATGCTGGACCCATATATCCTGCTGCTCCTTACATAAAACAGCACAATGTGATCTTTGAAAAGTGTAGGCAGGAGAAATGTCTGTGTTTTCATTTACAGTTCCCACCTGGTTTATGAATGGACAACCGCCAGGCTCCAGAGAACCAGCCCACATCCTCCACAACCAACCAACCAACCAACCGCTGGCTGTCTTCCAGTCCAAATGTGTTCACAGTGCACACTTTCCTCTGCTGTGGACAGAGAGCTCATGCTGCTCTGTGGTATGTCCGAAAATATGGAGAGAGATAGTGCTGGTGGCCTCTCAAGGGTCTACTTACTGCGATGTCCAAGAGCTGTGCTGGCATATTTTGCTCCACTTTCTTGTTTTGCTGAAACATGAAAATGTGACTTAAATTATAGCTGCAGACGACAGCTTTTGTTCTTTCATCTTACCAAGACCCTTAGGTTCATGTGTGTCCCTCCTCAAGGGCTCTGCAAACAGGAGATGACTATTGCTCTATATTTGACAAAAAGACAAGAGGGAAATGTGTTAAACCCCATTGATTCTCAT